GAAAAGAAGCAAGCAATGGACAAAGCAAGGTCGATGGAAAGGTGCAAAGAGACTCAGTGCTTGGCTAGCTGGTTTGTTCCTTATGACCCCGAGTCCCAAGCCTTGTTTCTCCTTGCCGCACTTATGACACTCGTAATCCTGATCTACACCTCGGATCTGCCGCTTCTTCTCATCTTTAAGTATCCACAAGTGATTGCAGTGATGAGGACAGAACAAAGGCAGGGGGCTAGGGAGCAGGGGGGAAATCCTGCAGTCTTAACTCAGAGCGACAGCATGTGCCACTGCAGCAAAGGGCTGGATGCCAGGCAAGGAGAACATCTAGATGGTGCCTGTGCAACAACCCCCTTAACTCTGCAGCTCCTGGCTCAGCTGGGAGCCGAGCAAAGGCCACAGAGGTTCAGCAGCGAGTCGCTGCCTCCTGCTCCTCAGCGTGACAGTGCCTCCTTGGCGCTGGTAGCTCCGGGGGAGTCGAGGGGTGGGGGGCCAGGCCTAGAGAGAGAGGCTGCCAAGCTCCTCCTGCCTGGCCAGTCCCCTCCCTCGCCGGTAACTTCCCCCTGCAGTGCCGCAGCCCGGCTCACGGTGGAGCTGCCCCCTCTCTTCAACCCCCAACTTGCAACAACTCCGGGACGGGATTGCGGGGGGAAAGCTGGAGCTTCGCACCAGACTTGTTGATCGCTGGTACGAGGCGGCGGAGGGAAGTCCCGGAGCTCGCCTGCGTGCCGGGAGGGAGGGGGGAGGAAAAAACCAGATGTGGCTCCATCCTCCCATGTAGCCGGGGGCGGAGGAGCAAGCCCGGCTGACGAAGAAGGCCTCGGGGAGCTTCTTGCTAAAGGGCGCCGGAAAAATCGTGCAGCTTCCCGGCGCCGGGGACTGGGTCGGCCTCGCTTCCCTTCCTCCTTCACCCGCCCCCTGTCTCCGGGGGTCTTGGACATACTGGAATTTGCTTGTGAGCTTTCCGCATCAGGCTTCCCCGGCGAGACGCACAGCGGCGTCTCCCTGGTGCTCGCCCCGCCGGCCGATGCATGATGCGGCCC